TTCTTATTATTGACAACAATAAAATTCTACAAAAATCTCTGTTTGGCACAGTTTCTTCAACTCTAAAATGGAGATTAAAACAGCACCCACCTCACAGAGCTATTATGGGGATCAAATGAGATAATATTTGTAAAAAGCAATTTTTTTTCATATTGTCATCTCAGGACTGTTCCTCATAGCAAGGCATTGGTGCTTTCCAAGTCTCTACCTTTCCCACCCCCAACAAATGTATCCTCAGTGATAGTGAAATAACATTCAGTTCTATTAACAAACCAGACAGACATGCCAAGTTGATAAAATCTACCCTAATAGCAAAAGGAGTTTTTCTAAGAGGGGGCAGGGGCACTTACTGCCCAAACTCCTCTTTTCTATGGGTTTTCAAAATACTTAGTTATGCCCTACCTAAAACCTTTATACCTAAAAATCCTCATATAAAACCAATACAAAAGCTTTAGAACATCTGGAGATTTGTGCAAGAGCAAATGCCATATTCAATGGATATTCATGGTGAGACACTAACAGCAAGAATTCTATGTTCCATTTGACTGTCAGATTAAATAGCAGCTTTTCCCATGACCCTAGACAGCACATTACTTTAGATCCTACATAATACTCAAATTAAAATGTCTCATTACTTAGCATTCATGCTTTAAGTGCTCTATGTAATTGCTACAGTTTTGTCTCAGAGGAACGGCTTCCTTTTTTTTTTTTTTTTGAGCAAAGATATTATGGGACAGAACCAGTGCTAGGACTTAGAAAAGCATCCGTACTTAAGGCTTCTATTCAACATGTTGGTGCTTTTGTTGCAGTTTTGAATTGTTTGACTTCAGTAGGGCATGAACTAGATTATAAGAAGCAAAAAGGATCAGAACTCTACCCGTTGTTACAACCTAACTCTACTTTACAGAGTGAGCTCAACGAAATTTGAGGAAAGCTATGAGAAAGTGCATGTGTGACTTTTCTGAGGAAAAGTAAAAAGAAAAGGGGTTGTGGGTGATATTTTGTGATATATCTTAAAGCACCAGTTTTAAGAGTTGCACAATACAATACTACTTAGGTGTAATATTTTGAGAATTGAAAGGAGTTGTTTTTTTTTAACATTTGTGCTTTTCTAGGACTATTCGGGATTCTAACCCTGCCTGTCAATAGAAAAATGACAAGATTAAAACTTACATAAAATTAGTTCAACTTCAAAAAAAAGCATAAAAAGTAATAGGAAATCAAACATTGAGGCTAAAACTAATTTAATACACTTTGGCTTTCTTTTCAATTATATTTTTATTTTTCCCCTAAAGGAAACAATCTGCAGAGGTTTTTTTTTTAAATGTACTTGCTAAAGATGAATTTTAAGTTCTTTATGGTTGGTAATATAAGAAGTATTACAGTTAGAACTGTTAAGTATGGTTAGACTCGATTCTAACATGGAAAACTAAAATATAGAGCTGGTGAATACTGACAAAGAATTGGTACCATGAAACATAACTTAGCAGAGTGGGTTGAGTATTGGCCTCAGAGTCAAAAAGACCTGAATTCAAGGCCTATATATAACACATACTGACTAGAAGTTGCAAAACAGATACTGATTTGCATTGATAGAAGTTCCTCCTTGGGAGTTTCTTACACTAATGGAATCAAAAATACGCTTCAAATATCAGCAAATTTCATATATGTATATGTGTCTGTATACCTATACACATGTGCACGTGCACACACACACACACGCACACACACACACACTGGTCTTGGGATTCAGGAACTAAAGATAACCACAACCACACAAAAGTTAATATTCTCATCCATCAGGCTTACAGATAAACTGTTGTCATCTCTGTAGAAATCACAGTAAATATATAGGACTCCAAAACTGGGTAAAAGTTACCAGTGTTGGGAGAAAAAAAAATGTCAGACAGAAATGAGAATAAGATATGTCTATTTTGGGGACATGCGAGCTACTCCATGGGCTACATTTGTATTTGATAGCAGGAGCTTCTTTTTAGGCCAAAAATTTCAATTATCTATGGCAAGATTTATTTTTCTCTAGCCAGAATGAGTTGTATTTTTTTTTCTACCCCCTTTCCAGATTAGTGTGCCAGCATGTTCCAGGAAAGTCATTTGGAATGAGTGATACAATTCAAAACACTGTTAATTAACAAAACAAAAACAAAACATATACTCTGAAGGGAAAAGCACACCAAGATAGAAACACAATCAAAATACAGGCCATGCCAACAAACCACACCTCATCAGGCCTGTGTTCTACCAAAACCCTTTCCCTCTGGGAATGATTTCTTTAAGGACCTTTTATCTGTTCCATAAATAAAATTAAAGTTGCTAGGAAACAGTCTGGCTTCTCAGATCATGGCTGAATTTGGGCAGGGGGGTGGTATGGGGGGTCATTTAGTAGCTTCCTACCAAGGAAGAAAGAAACCTGGAGAGTGTTTTGGACAGATATACTATATTGTTATGAAACGTGAATTATTCTCAGCCCATGTTTATCACAGGACCCATTGGAGAATTCTGTCTGTTACTCAAATTCCTATTGAGTCATAGCATCTTTCAATTAATGGCATAAGGGCCTTTGGGGAATTGAGTCTTTCAGGGCATGTGATTTTTTTTCTTTGTTATTACTTTCTTCCCTTTAATTTCCTTCCCTAATATATTTATTACCACATCTGTCTTCCACTTAATTGTGTCCAATAATACTGCCTTGAGTGTTTTCAAGACCTTTATTATTAGTCTGAAAAATTATTCCAAACACATCATCTGTCCTGCTGAACTCTACAAAATTTCTGTATTTTCAGGACTCGTGTGATCTTAAGCTAATTTCCTCAAGTGTATATAAATGTTCAGTATTTGTTCACCCATTTGTTCGTTCAATAAACATTAAATGCTTGGGAGCATAACACCACAGTAAGCATGATTAAACATGTAAACCATTAAAAACCATTTACAGTATAAGATTTCTTGCTTTGGGAAAAATCACGAAGAGCAGAGTACCAATGATAGCAAAGGAAAACTAACTGTTTCAAAGAACCACAAAGCACCAGAAACACAAACCACATATTCTGCTTAATATTTGAAAGCAATTCGGAAGTCAAGTTAGCATTTTTCAAAGACTATATTCTTCAATTCCTACTTTTCTAGATACACTATAGGAGGCATTCCAGAATTTAAGGGATTGGCTCTCTGAATTGGGACTCTTCCTCTATGGAGTAAAATAACCAATGCCAGGATTTTTATGATTCTGTTCAATCAGAGATAAGATGTACTGTACTTTAGACTCTAGTTCCTTCCTGATTAAATTTAGACTGGGCAAAATAATTGGGGGAGGGGAAAGGAAGGAACTAGTATTTTGTATAAGGCTTAAAAGTCATTGTGGAATTTTTTCAGGTGACCACAATATATCTGTAATCAAATTAATCACAAAAAGTACCCTGTGCAAGAAAGTGAAACTGATTTCTTTTTCTAGAATTATCACATGCAGAACCTAAAGCAAGGAAAGTATCACCTGTCATCATGCATGAAATAATGGGGGAAAAAACTTAAAAAGGGGGAAGTGTAACAGTGAAAATAAGCAAGTTATTTCAAAACCAAAGGGCAAATTTTAGAATAGCTGAGTGACAAAATAAAGCTCAAATAAAAATATAATACAATTTGCAAATGAGATGTTTTCCTCTCTAAGTTCATACATACCCTACTAATATAAATTGGGTGCAGTTGGGTGGGGGTGGAGACATGGACAGAACTCTAAACTTTATAATTTTTTTTTAATCTCTCAGAAAACAAAGATAAATGTTAAGCCACTCTTTGGCACTTTAGAGTTTTACAGTATTATCAGTAGTGATTGGGAAAAAAACTAATTTTAATCCAATTAAAATCAAAATTCATGTCCCCTATAAGAATCAAGTAAACAAAATTTCATAAACTGACAGTGGGTCCTGTATGTGTGTGTGTGTGTGTGTGTGTGTGTGTGTGTGTGTGTGTGTGTTCCCTATTTTCAACTGAATTCTACTTTCCTTTGGAAAAGGGAGTAAAGTTTAAGGTTTAGACTGAGAAACCTAAATAGAAAATCTATTCTATTGTGGCCTCCAATATCAAATTTTAAAGTTTGTTCCCTTCATTCACTACAGATACTCCCCAGATTTTATGGATATTGGTTGGTTTTGCTTTAAGATTTTTTGGTTTCCAAGAAAGCAACTGAGTCAGTTTTTAAGCAAATCTCATGGCAGTCACATCCCCTATCCTCCACCTATAAATAATCAGATGAAGATGAACTGACATACTAGTACATTTTCATGAACACTAATTTCCCTAACTACTTATAATTCATTTGCCATGAAAATGGTTTTCTTCTCCTAGAACATAATCTAAGGATTCTGGATAAGAATAACAAACCTTGAGCTTTTTGTGGTGGTCATGGTTTTTGGAAGAGTAAGCCTTAGAAAATACTACATACTCATACCATAGAACATTTTTAGTATTAACTACAGTGCTTAGAACACTATATTTAATAACTATGTCTTCATCCATTCATTCATTTGTTCTTCAGAACTGATCTAAAATAAGATATCGTTTTTGCACAGGTTAAATATGTATCATCATCTAAATCAATCCCCACATAATCTAACAAGGTGATATAATCTCAAGGGCATAGAACAAGGTATATAGAATATTCATCTTCTGCCTATGAAATGCCTTCTTTGGGGGTTGTTTCAGGTTGCAATTTAACACCACAATTAACAAATAATTAGTTTTAAAATAGTATGGCCCTAAAGAAGACTCGTGTGAAATCTTCAAAACTTTTCTTTGTCATACCTTGCAATTTGCTTAAAAATATAAATGTAGAAAGAATATGCATATTTCATATTTTTCAGAAGTTGACTGCTAAAAAAATGGATCAATAAAATGTCAAAGTAAAAGAAAAAAATACAAATAACACTTCACCCATCTATTCATCCACAACATACACATACCTCACAGTTCCATTCTACTTGACTCACCTATATGATAAAGTCCAATCCAGTCAGTAGGGTCCACTTCCTCTTTAATGTCCCAGAAGATAATGAGGTTCTGGGCTTGGCCCAGTGTATATTCATACATGCTCGCAGTCAGGCTAGAGCGGCTTTCCGAAGTCACCAGGTCAGTGTCACTATTAGCCCTCTGCAGGTTCATGTTCTCAGGCATGGACCCCTGAGAGGCAAGACTCTGGAGGTTCTCTGGACTCAATGTGTAGCGCATCTGGGGGTTGCGCCTCCTCACAAAAAGCAGGTGCTCCCGGGCTGAGCTAGCCATCCTGTCTACCTCTCTGAAGTCAGCTTCCTAAGGATCTGCAAGAAATAGACAAACAGGAGGCATTAATGCTGTGATGCAAGCAATCAGATTTAAGCCTCCCAAAGATAAAGCTTTGCAGAAATGTTTCTTACAACTGTGACCCTGGAGTAATCTGCTGACAAAATAAAGCCCAATGCTGTGTTATGAACGCGTGTGGTCTGAAAATAGCATCTCTAGCTCGCAGTTGCTACTGCATAAGTTCAATGAAGCACAGGAGATGATGCAGCCATTAGATCTTAGAGTTGGAAAGGACCTAAGACTTCACCTCTTCCAACCTCTTCACTTTACGAATGGTAAAAACCAGAGAGTAGAGTGATTTTCCCAGGGTCATGCAGCAAATAACTACCAGACTTGGCTTTTCCCTACATTAGGGCTGCACTTCGCCCCTTTCTCCCTTCTCCCTTCTTCCTGCCCGATCCCACTCCTGACAAGATAAATGTTAGGTTGTGATTTTGCTGGTAACTTCAAAAGGTTAGAGGCAGGTATATTTCTCCATTTAAGACCAGTGTGCTTATCTCCTGCTATCTGCCCCACTTTCCCTCCCTTCACTGTCATGGTCTATTCCTACTACAGTCTAGCAAGTGTATAACTAAATAATGATAATAAAAGCTGACATTGATACACTTAAAGATTTGCAAAGTGCCATACATACTGATGATCTCATTTAAGTCTCAGAAAAAATGCTGTGAGCTAAGTACTACAGGTATCACCATTCCCAATTTACAGAAAAGGAAACTGAGGCTCATAAAAGTTAAATGGTCACATGAACTAGTAAATGTCTAAGGGTACTGTAACTAGCATGGGGCAACTGGGGTTTTGTCCCTGGGCCCCAACAAGGAAAGTATGGCTCTTCTTCCCTATGGCTATTTCTGATTTCTTATTTTGCCAGACTATGGCACTCCCTCAGTGTAACTACCATGGTGCCCCTTTCCCAAGACTGCTTCCTCCCACACAAACCAACTCCTGTGAGAGAAGACTCAGCACTACTCCTCTCCCACAATCATTTTTGACCCAAGTGCAAGAAATACTCATGATTCTGATAGGAGATAGGATCCAGGTAAGAGTTTTCCTAACTCCAAGTCCAGCACTTTATCCATTATGCCACACTGCCTTTATTCTATAACATGGGAGAAATGAAGGGATTGAGGTATATCACAAGTACAGAGCCTCATGTTACTGTATTTTCTTGGCAAAAATTTAATATTCTTCCCCGGACACTTCCTATTATCACTTGCCTTTTTGATCCCGTGGGTACTGACTCTTAGAGCAGTCCCTCTCATTGATCCACCTTACTTCCACCACTTAGTTCTAAGTCATCCAAAGCGATAAGATCTTCAGACTGCTAAAGAACTGAATTGAATTGTACTAAATTAAATCTTTGTAGCTTCTTTCCTCCCTCCCACTGTGGCCCCATCATACAATCACTTGGTCACAGGTAGGTAGGCACATAGCAAAAACTCAATTAAAATTGTTGAAGTTAATGTTGAATATTAATTAAAATTGCACTAGACACAAGGTTAACACAGACTCCATTAAAACCTCACTAAAAATGGCTTAAGGTAACCTGTTCACAGAAGTGAGTGTAAAATCTGAAACCATAGCTTAAAAGTCTCTGGAGAAGCTATTAGCATATTTGTTCCTGTAAAAATTCATTTTGTTATTATAATAAAAAGGCTGAGTAGTTCTTAGCAATCTGAGATATACTTCAAAGAAAAGAAACACAAGATAACAAAATGAAACCAATTGTGCATTTGACTAAAATTGCAAACATTCAAACCATTCTAAAGCCTGTAATTTAGAGCTAATGTAAAACAGCCCAAAACAGAAATGTAACTATTCTGTGAAGTTTAACACTGTGCCTAGCATAGCTCCAGCTAATAGTCTACTAGCATATTATTCACACATTTTCCTGGGAATTAACCCCTGTGGGCAAATGCTTCTGTGGTGGCTCCAACAACAGCTACTGAAGACCCAGAAAAGAAAGCTTTTTCCACTAAAATCCTTAGCACTGTCAAATGGTTCATCATTAAAAAAAAATGATGGTATTTTATCAATGGAAATGACCTACCATCTGCTTTTCCATTGAACCCCAAGTGGAACCATCTGATTTGCAGCTGAAACCTTCCATGAGAGTTGTCTCCCTCATCAGAATGTGAGCTCCTCCAGAGAAAGGACTCTGTTTTCTATTAGTATCCCCAGCACTTAGTCTTTTGCACATGGTAGTCACTTGATAATTTTTTCTTTCTTTTTTCATTCATTCATTCATTCAAGCTAGTAGGATACTTAGAGATCTTCTAATCTGACCCTTTCATTTTGCAGATGGGACGCTGGAGACTAGAGAGGACAATGCCCAGTGACATGCCAAATATCCACAGCTAGTTAGTGGCAAAGCTGTTGACTTCTAGTTGAGCAGTCTAGCCAATCAGCTGGCTTCACATATAACTTGAAAGAGGCTGGAAGGAAATCTGGGAGCTACAATGGAGCATAGATGATGGGAGCATGTTATTCAATATTGTGATACACAGAAGATTATAAGATTACCCGATCAAGAGTAAAGAGAACTTGAAGATCATCTAGCTCAAATTCCTTCATTTTACAGGAGAAACATGAAGCACCTTGTTTAAAGTCACACACCATATTATGTAACAGATTTTCTCTGAACTCAAGTCCTCTTGCCTCTGAGACCAGCAGCACTCTTTCCACTATATCACATTACCTACTTTTTTCTTTTTTTTTCACAGAAACATAAATATTTATTTTGTGGTAACAGATGATGCTAATATCCCCTATAGAATACCTGTAGTCTACAACTTATAATAATAGCTAATATTTACATAGTTCTTTAAAATGCTTTTGCAAAATAATTTACATATGTCATCTAAGTTGATATATTATTCTTCTAATGTTTCCTCTATTTGCCATTTGCTTAGTTAATTAATTTTTTTTTTGCCAAAAGTAGCCATTAATAGAAGAAGAAAATTAGAATTAGGTCTGCAATAAATGGCTTTTTTCACCTATCAGACACGTTCCTTGGAAACAACAAAATTTACTACTTTACTTCCAAAGGTTTTAATTACTAACCAACTACAAAGCACCATAGTATACAAGTTCAAAGCTAAAGCCTAAAAGAGAGAGAAAACTATCAGATTACAAATATATTATTTTAGTGCCTTGCTCTAAAGTCACAAAATGGATGTCATCTCATTGCATTTCATATCATTTTGCCTGAATGGCAAATAGAGAAAACATTTTGTTTTTATAGTAGAGTGATCCCTAAGACCACTACTAAATGACAGAAATTAGGATACAACAAGAAATGCTTTCTGTGATTGCAGCCTCTTAGAAGAGTAATATATTCAGGTGGGTCTCCAGCTCCAAAGCCCCTAAAGTTCTTGAAACCATTTAGCTATGATGGCTTTCAGCTTCCTGTAGTATATAACAAAAGTAGATTGACCAAATAATATTCACAAAGGAAAGAACAAAATTCATTTTTTAGAAGAATTGAGTAAGGTAAGCTGACCCAAATTCGAAAATTTTAGACAATAAATAAAAAAGCAAGGAACTGACAATCATGAAGCACAGAAGTGATGCTGATAAATCAGATAATATGCAAGACAGGCAAAACTAGATCATAATATGAACTAGATTATATCCTTTTATGATAGGTTCTACTTATGAGGTGTTCTATGGAGACCATTAGCACATTTGCCACCATAAAACATTTTCATAGAAGTAACTTTGTCCTTCAGAAAAACTTATTAAAACATGTTGATGGTAAGAGAAACTGCATAGTCAAATTCATATTTGCCAAACCAAAATTGTTGCCTTTACCATAACTTGTAAAGTACTTTCATCAACTTTTGTTTTATGTACTCCAATTGATTCTCAATGGGCAAAATCTAACACAGAGTAGTACTTGCTAGAAAACACCCCAAATATATATTTACTGCTAAAAGAATGAGTTTACAGAAACATTCATTTTAGTATAGATAATCCTAATCCTATTTGTATCTTCCTATTCATAGATAGTGCTATATTTATGCTCAAGGTAAGTATAAATACAGAAAAAATTATTTCTATGAAATAAGCCAGAAAAATTGACTTTAGTTCACTGGGTTTGGTTTCCAAGGTGGACAGGGAATAAATGACCCCTCTACCCTTCTTCATAATAAAAAAAAAAATAAGAAATGTAAGCCGGCAGGAAAATGCTTGATTACCCTTTGGGGAAGTACCATCCTCATATCAAGTATCATATTATGTGACAAGGCCAAACCACATTAAAAAGAAATACATAAAAACCAAAAGGCAATTCAGACCTGCAAAAACGCAAGCAAAATCCAAATGCAGGATTGTTAATCATTTTTTATCGTTGTTAATTATTTTGAAAACTGAGTTCTTCAGATTAAATGAAATTATCATCACTGATTCCAGAGAAAAGATGATTAAAAGCACTCTTTTTGGCTGGTAAAGAGGAAAGGAAGACTAGACTATAGTTGCTAAATGTTGTACACGCTGGTAGTGATTGGGTTAGTGTTTTTTACTTTAATGTTTCTTTGTTACAAGAAAAATTTCTGTGGTCAAGGGGAGAACACTGGGAAATATCTATCCATATCCATAAAACTTTTTTTAAGTTATTTCAAATACAATGTCAAGATTAATTTTTAAATTTACCTCATTTAAAATTGGCTTATGAGCAATAATTGATAAAATATTCTCACCAAGTTACAAAAAAGATTTATTACTCTTGTCCCCTTCCTTCTCCTTTATCCAAACCAGTAAGTTTTACTAAATTAATTTAACTGGTTTTTAATTTCTCTAACATTATTTTCTTTACTTAGGTAAGTAAATCCATTTGGTTATTTGCAAATAAGCTAATTTCTGCGTATGGAACCTATCAGATACAAAGTGTCAAGAGAGCCTGTATAGATAGAATAAAGGAAGAGAATAGGATCACAAGACTCAGCTAGAAGAAATCTTAGACATCACCTACTCCAAC